CAAGATATGTTGTTGTTTCTTTATAAAATATAATCTTGCACCTTCAATTTTTACAAAAGCATCGACAATAAAATGTTGGCTTAATTTACCTAAATTAAGAAATGGACTAAACTCATCTCTAACACTAATTTTAAATGAGTAAAACTGTAAAGCTGTTATATTGTTTCTTTGATCTTTTGATAATAATTTCGGCATCCAACCACTACCTCCTGCAGGATATATTAAAGGATATGTCATTGGATCTACATATCTACTTATTGCAGGGATGCTAATTGGTTTATTAAATTTAGAATATACACAAAAATCGCGTTTTATTGGAGGTTCATCATTTTCATCAACAAATACAACAGCAACTTCATTTGTAACAGGAGAGTTATATCGGTTTTTATCTAAATTAATATCTCTTTTCATAATCATTTTAATTTCTCGAGGTAGATTATTATTATTAGTAACAAATTCTTTTTCTTCTTTTTCTACTTCGTACATCATTTTGTACGCTTTAGCATAAGGATTAATTTTTCTGATCAACTTATCTAAATTAGATAAAATATCATTTCTGCAGTTATTATTAATATCTTTACGACTTTGTGTAGCTAATTCATTGTCAATTATATACAGTTGACCATACTTTCTGAATTCATTTTCTTTGGGATGTAATGAATATGTGTTATGGTAAATTTGACCACACATTTTAAAGACTTGAGGACCTTTATTTTGTAGAGAAGCATATGTTGCACCAAATCTTGCAAACGGTATTGTATTGTTGTAGCTTCTTATACATTTTTTATAATGATTACTAATTGCAGTTTGACCACAAACTATTTCCTTTAATTCTACCGGGGGTAATGGATATTCAGTTAACAAAACTTTGCCTTTATGACAACATGTACTAAACTTTTTATCCTCTGGCATTTCTGAAGGAAAATGCTTAGCTGGACAAAATTAACAAATAACATCCAAATTACTATATTATTTGCTAACTTCAAACATTTTAAATTAATATTATTATTGGCTTCTAATTTTCTTTTTCTACAATTTTCTCGATATTCTTTACATTTTTCAATATTTTGTAATTTTATTTCTTCATTCTTAATTTTTTTTTCATTTTTCGATATCTTTTACATTTCTCCTCATTTTTTAATTGAATTTTTTAAATAACTTTTTCCTATATAAACATTTTAATTGATTTTTGTCAGAATATAATTGCTGGCATTATTTTTCACAAAAAATGAAAATTTTTAATTTTTTAAAACTAATAGTATAAGTTCTGTTAATCAAGATGAAGAAGCTAAATATTTTCATTAAATGAACCACTTTATTAATGTGTTGAAATCATGGAATTGTGTTATAAATTGTTATTTAAATAATCAGGAAGATTAAAAAAAATTTAATTTAATATAACCGTGGAATATTTCATCCATATCACTGGAATATTCCCTCAATATTGCTTGGATATATATATATTTTTTGGTTTTCTTAGAAAATCATTGGAATATTCCACGGTGATATTCAAGGGATGTTGAGGGGATACACCGTGCTGCTTAGGTTCCTTTATTATATAATATTAAAAAATGGAAATGGAAAATGAAAAAATGTTAATAATTTCATGCATGACTGTAATTATGGCGTCGCAGATGACTTTGACACAAATAAGACTTCTTATGATTTAAGAATTTAATTATTATTTAACAATAATAATTTAAAATTTGATATATGTTTATTTTTTCGATATAATGATTCAATAAATCTTGTTTTTTGAATAGATGTTTCATGTTTATATTCATTACATTGTATTATAATTTTTCATTAACAGCAACACCATAAAGTTTTTTTAAAAATATTTATAAAATTTGAATTTTAAATTATAAATTCTTGACAATTTTTCTAAAAAACAAAGAATAAAGCATCTCATGTCACTCCCAATTTTACACAAATGCACTCAATCAATGCACACTTCCGAAGATATAACCCTTTTAGATTTTTAAATCTTTGATTACGGAGATAGCTAAAACGATTTAACATGCGTTTTGGCTTTGATAAATAAGAAGTTCAGTTCGATTATATATTTAATTAAATAATCAATTAATAGTACTAATTAATTATATTGAATTAAAAATATATTTTTAGATTTACAAATTTGAATACTATATAATATTAAAAAGTAGGGTATTCGTTAGGAAAAGTGGTAAGGCCCTTACCAGTTTTCCTTACATAGCATTTAGTAGCAATTGAAAAAAAGAGAAACAATTTACAATCAATATTGTAGAATAAAATCAGAATTTAAGTCAACAGACATATAAAATTTGTTTTATTACATTAAATTAAATTTTTTTTAAAAAGTAATTTGAAAATTAAAAAAATTGAATTATTATAATTTATAATGAAATAATAATTTAAAACAAAAAATAAATATACATATGAATAAACTACAATACGTAAAGAAAAAAAAGTAAAACTTCAACCGAGCGAGCGTTAGCGAGCGAGGAATATATCGCTAGTGTATATTAATTTCTTTCGAATACTTTCCCTCAAAATTTTGGATGTAATTGTAATGTATTATTATATACCTATATAAAATATATTTATGTTTTTTTAGTTATTTTAGTACTCATTGAAATATGTGCATTAAGTTATTTATCATGCATTCAATAACAATAAGTTGAGAATTTTTTTCTAATAGTTTTAAAAATAAAGCAAATGTAATTTTTTCACTGTAATTTTTAAATATTATTAATAATTAAATATTAAATTTAAAAAATTTTTCACCATTCATATTTTACAGTCGTCTTTTATTAACTTATTTTTAATTATGTAATTCATCAATCATTTTTGTCTGTTTTAATATTATTTACGGTAAAAATAATTTATTAAAAATATTTAACTGAAATTGATATCCAGTTTTATTTCATTAAATCTTTGTAAAAATTGAAAAAATTTTATGAGTTTAAAAAATTTAAGAATAAATTCATTTTATTTTCGTGATCAATAGATAATACAAACTTTGAAATCAAAACTTTTGTATTAGGTGAACTACTTCAAGTCAAGCCAACGCGGCTGTGCGGTATGCGTATCTGACTTGCGTTCTAAGGGTTTAGGGTTCGATCCCCCATGCGTGCGAGATTTTTCGTTCTTAGTTTTAAGTGTTATAAGTACAATATTTGTTCATGTGTAATATCAATTATTAAATAATTATTAAATTAAGTATAAGTGCAAAGTAAAAAAAATTAAATATTATGAATTTAAACAAGATGGGGGTCCCTTTTTATAAAAGAAGTTTATGTTCATTTCATGAACATTTTGCTTCCTCATTGCGCAAAGCAAAAGATTTGCTTCCTCTTGGAGGAAGCAATAAATTAATAATTTATATACATATTATTTTTAAAATATGATAAATGATTTCAAAAAACTATAATATAAATAATGGAATTCTTCCTTAAAGATTTATTCTTTAAATTTAAATGAAATCTAAACTTTATATATATACCAATCAGTTTCTTTTGACGTAAGGAATAAGATTATTATATGTATTGCCTTTATTTTAGCTTTGAAACAATTTTTTTATTAAAATCGATTTTTTGAAAAAAAATAAAAAAAAATTTTTTTTTAGGGGGTACTTTCTAAAATTGTTGTGTTCATTATGAGATATTAATGTGACAAATGTACATACCGAATTTTAGTCAAATCCGTTAAAACGTATTAACGATATCGTGTTCACAAAAACTTTTTTAACTAAAATATGAATTTTTGAATTTTGAATTTTTTAATTTATTCTTTCAATTTCAATGAAATATAAACTTTATATATACCAATCGATTCGTCTTGATATGAGGAATACGATATTACTATGTATTGCCTTTAATTTTGCTTTCAATAAATTTTTTCGATTAAAATCGATTTTTTTGAAAAAATGCCAAAAAAAATTTTTTTGTGGGTATTTTCTAAAATCATTGTGTCCATTTTGAGATATTGATGTGACAAATATACGTACCAAATTTTAGCCAAATCCGTTAAAACACAAATTATTTTTTGTAAAATAATTTATTAAAAATAAAATAATTTAATTAATATAAATGATAATTATTATTTTAATTATTTATTGTTAATAATATTTTATATATTCTAAATAACATTAATTATTATTGGATTCACATTACCTGTTCGTGGTAAAAATGGGAGTAATAAGCTAATGAGGATGAAATTTGCATTGGAAAGCGTGTTTTAGCATTTTGTAAAAAAGTGAGATTTTAAGTCCGGATGAGTACTTTGTCAGTATTATTCTAGTACTACGTTAGTACTGGTGAGCGGGACAAAATCAGTACTGGACAGCGTTACCAGCCAGGGTTGGTCCACTACTGGCCCAGTACGGCAGTCAGTACCGTTATACTGACTGGCAGTGTTGGGTCAGTACTATGCCAGTGGCACATTTCTACTTGGGACATTTTTGGTTATTGTTTTTTTTATCAAAATTGATTTTTAAACTTATCTGTCTACTGATAAAATTTATTATATTTCAATTAGAATTTCTTCGAAAATCATTATTTATTTAAAAATATTTACCATCTTTGGAAACAACTCTTATTGAAATATCATAAATTTTCTCATTCCCACTATTTTGTAAAAAAAAATCTTAAAAAACATGCATTTACACAAGTTTCCCTCCTTAAACTTAAATGATAAAATTAATATTTATTAGATTAACCAACTTTCTCATTGGAACTATTTAATTTTATAAGTTTAATTATACTGATAGTATAGTGGAAGAATAAATACGTGTCAATATACAATGTTAAATATATGTATTTAAAAGTGATAAACTCTGGAAATTACGAAATGCTGTAACGCTACCCTTGTTGGATTGACATTAGGTACACATTAAAAAGCAATTCACTATAAAAAAAGTGATTAATCGATAAAAAATGATGAAAAAAAATATTTTGGAAAGGGTAAATGGGAATCTGTAGAGTTCATTCTAACAAGAATTGCAATAAATAAAGCAGTAATTTAGCCAAAAAACTTTTTATTTTGAAAAATAAAACAAAACAAAAAAATTTAATTAAATTTTTAAACAAATTATCATCAGGTATGCTCTAAAACTTTTTGCAAAATGTTCTTAGTATTTTCATGTATGTAAAGTCGATGAAAGACGAAAACAACTGTTTGTTAAAATAATTAGAAGTTATTGAAAAATTCAAACGGTGATGTCATTTCTAACCTCACATTTTCTAACAATTTATCAATGTTTTATCATAATTAGTTAATGAAATATCAACAATTTTGCAAGACAGTGCCCTTATGCTTCTAATACATTCTCATTCGAAAAGTTGTTGCGTATGGTGATTATTACACGAATTTCTATCCTTTTTGGTAATAAATGTCTTTACACGGATGTACATAATATAATACAACACTTTGCGTCCATATTTATCCCTGAAAAATAGAAAAACAATTTCTTTTATTATTTTTCAGTTTTTATTAGATTTTTTAATAAAAATTTTCAACCAGGAATAAAGTACCAGAGGGCAAAAAACATTAATGTTCTAGATACGCCCCTAAAACATTTTGGAACGTTTTATGTTCTTAAAATATTTTTGGAACATAGAACATTCTTTATACAACAAAATTTTTTGAAACTCTACTAAACACTGAATTTGATAAAAATAATAATTATATATTTACTGAATATCATTACCTTCGCTTTTTTCTTTTATACTTTAAATTCACATTGTCCTGCTATACAGTACTAAAAAATAAAATTTCAACAATCAATAAATAAATACTGATGCACATATTTAGGGTTAAGTTCACTTATTTTCGCACAAAATCCAACAAAATTAAATTATTAAAAATTCAAATATACCCTGCCAGGAGCACAATTAGATCCCTCCGCTGGAGGATTCATATGTGAAAAGTCTTTCAATTGTCCATACTTATTTCTACTGCTGCAGACTAAGAGTAAACAAGTTGTCTTTTTCTACAAAATCACATTAATAACAAAATAAAGTCATTGATAGATGAAATTATACAAAGTTTTTTATTAAAGTTAAAGAAACTTACATGTGCACATTGATAGAATCCCATTTTTTTGCATTGTTCATCTAAAGACATTATTTGACCGGGTAATAATCTCCGTAGTGGATAGTTATCTTTATATACTGCTGGATTATTTCGAAGGCATTTTGTAAAATCTTGACTGTAGAAAAATTTAATTTATTATAGGTATTCACAATTTAAGTCAGTGTATTTTCACTTATGAGAGATTCTTTTTCAATCGCCCCAGCCCAAAAAGTCAATGTTCAGGGATTGGCTGCATACTTTGGTAAATTGTTGTCCTATATGATAGTAATAAATCCCTAAAATATAAACGCATTAAAAAAATATTTGCAGGAAGTAGAGGGGGTTGAAGTTTTGACGTTAAGGGTAACATTGTCATATTCAAATCCGTATAACTATGACAAAAGTTAAAGGATTTTAATTTATCTATAATGAATTTTAATGCATTTTTCACGTACTTTTCAAAAATGTATACAAAATTTAAAAAAAAAATTTTTGACCCCTTTTTTTCAAAATCAACCCTTATTTTTCGATTTTCACCCCTTCGGGAATTACTATCATATAGGACAACAATTTACCAAAGTATGAAGCCAATCCCAGAACATTGACTTTTTGGGCTGGGGCGATTGAAAAAGAATCTCTCTTATATAAATTGTTAAATTTTAGCTATTTCATATGAAATTGTTGAAATTTAGCAACTGAATCTCATTCAGTAACAGTTTTTAAAATGTTAAATTTTTCTCTAAAATGATCAAAGAAAGATAAATTTTTAATTTAAAATATAAAAATTTGTGCAATTATAATTGTAAGTCAAGAAATATTTTTTCTATTTGAGTATAACAATAATTTTAAATTAAATTTTACTTCTTTAATTACTAGTGATAAATAATTTATCTTTATTTAAGAATTATATTTTTATAAAAAAAAAATTAATAATTTCAACTTCTACATATAAAACTTTTGACGTTTTAAGTGTTATTGCAAAAATTGTGGGGCATATTCGTTAATTAGTAAAAAATTAAACTATTTAATTAAAATTTAAAAAAAAACTATAATTTTTATCAATTTTCACCAATGTCAAGAATGCTATACATATTGACTAATAATCACCAATTTTTTTTTTTTTTTTGGGAGAAAGAAATATGTTCATTATAATTTTTGATCATTTTCACGAATATTTTTAATGATATTCATAAATTTTCAACGCACCTTAAGGTATGTACTATAGCTTTTACAGAACAAGGAGAAAACGAAATCTTGTTTTTATTATATTTATTGTAACTCATGACGTAACCTTCCTTTTTAAGGCAACGCATAGTATTAGAAGGACCATTCTGGTTTGAATTTTGCTCATCATGTGGTGCACCAAGGCTAAAGAAAACAATGTTCATAAATTTTATGTATAATTTTACACCTGAGTACAAAGATAAAATTTTAATCTATTTAAATTAATTTTTTTTTATTTGTGAGATTTTTGCATATCGCTTTTTAAAAATATTTTTAAAATAATCCAATTTAAATGATTTATGGCTTATATTTTCTAGAAAATAATGTTCCACATCTTCACTTCAGGAATTTTTAAACAAATTCGTCGTTTTTTTAAAAACATTGTTATTTGTTTAAGGGAAGTGAAAATATTTTTTTAACCAAATAACAATATTTAAAAAAAACGGTGCATTGTTTATAAATCTTTGTGATGAAGAATTATTTTCTGAAGAAAATAAGCAGCGTGAGATACAGAAATACAGCTGAAATTATTATAATAAATATATTATAATGTTTTAAATATCAAATCATTATCAGTAAAATAAATGTAAATATAATTTGGTTCTTACATGTGACCTAATTCGTGAACAGTAGTTAAAATGGTTCCATAATCATTTTTATCGAAAACTACTCCAGAAGACATGTACATTCCACGAGAATTCCGAAGAACGCATGGTTTTCCAGTATAAGCATAACCTAATAAAAAATTGTTATATAGTTTGAATAAATATTTATATTGCACACCCAGAAAAATAATATTTTCAATTTAAAAAAATATATATACATATGGGTCTGTCCGTGGACTTTCGTCTAAAAGTGGTTGCGAACGTAAAAAATCTACACTGAGAAAAATAATTTCATAATAATAAGAAAATAATTTAGTTGAACATTTTTAGTTGGCGTTACTAAAATACGGTTGTCACAACAGAATAGAAAGTTTGATTTCCAGTACTAAATCGCTGGCATGTTGAATTGCGCACGCGCTGTTCTCGTAAATAAGGCGTCGCTTCCCATTCACGGGGTGCCAACATTAACCATACGTCGTTCGCGTCATGAAGTTTCAGTGTTAAAGTTTTATTTGTTTTTCAGACATTTTTTAAAAAAAAAGTTTGTGTAGTGAGAATAAATAAATAAAACTTGTTAAAAGAACGAAAGTTTTTTTCCACCCTCAATACATTGTGAAAATGATTTAATCTCAAATTGTTAGTAGGATTCGTAGAGTAGTGGTTAGCGTTCTCGACTTGCGTTGCGTAGTCTGAGGGTTCGAGCCTCAGCAGTGTTAGGTTTTTACCGCGATAGAAATTAATTTAAGTAGGCATAGGTAGATTATATGAAGTGAAAAGGGTGAACCAAAAAATAAGTTGGTTAAGAAAACAAAAAAAGTTTCATTTAACAAAATTTTTTGATTGCTTAAAAACAATAATTTAGTTGTGCGAAACAAAAAATTTGGTAGACCGAACAAAATGATTCATCAAAAAAATGTAGTTCTGAGAACCAAACGGCCTAGTTGCATATATATTAAATAAAAAATTTGGTAGAGAGAACCAAACATTGGTAGACGGTACTAAACATTTTTCTCAGTGTAGTTTTAATATATGTGGAACTCGATGATTCTCTGAGTTCATTTACCATAAAATAATGGTAAAAATTTTATTCTCTTTAAAAATATTAATTATCAAAAGTAGAAGGTTCACGATGTGATTTCGTAACCTTAAATTTTTCAAGTTTTTAAAAAATGCTATTAAAAAAAAAAAATTTCAAAATTATATATGTTGGAACTCACTAAAAACATAAATCACTTTGTTTTGCACACAGGAACAAAAGAATTTTTACAAAATCAAATTTTTCTAAAATGATATATGAGAGATTCTTTTTCAATCGCCCCAGTCCAAAAAGTCAATGTTCTGCGATTGGCTTCATACTTTGGTAAATTGTTGTCCTGTATGATAGTAATAAATCCCTAAAATATAAACTCATTAAAAAAATATTTGTAGAAAGTAGAGGGGATTGAAGTTTTGACGTTAAGGGTAACATTGTCATTTTCAAATCCGTATAACTATGACAAAAGTTAATGGATTTTAATTTATCAATAATGAATTTTATTGCATTTTTCATGTACTTTTTAAAAATGTATATAAAATTAAAAAAAAAAATTTTCACCCCTTTTTTTCAAAATCAACCCTTATTTTTCGATTTTCACCCCTTCGGGAATTTTTTTTTAATTTTTTTTATTTTCATTGGAAAGCTGAGGTTTTTTCCCATGAGCTATGTAAATATGAAAGTGGGACAACAATAATTTTGTGAGAAACATAATATTAAATTAGGCGGTGCCTACCTAAATCCTCGAAGATGATCTTCAGGTGTACCCGTTATCGGCACCGCCTACTTTAATATTCTGTTTCTCACAAAATTATTGTTGTCCCATTTTCATATTTACATAGCTCATGGGAAAAAACCTCAGCTTTCCAATGAAAATAAAAAAAATAAAAAAAAAATTCCCGAAGGGGTGAAAATCGAAAAATAAGGGTTGATTTTGAAAAAAAAGGGGTGAAAATTTTTTTTTTAATTTTATATACATTTTTGAAAAGTACATGAAAAATGCATTAAAATTCATTATTGATAAATTAAAATCCATTAACTTTTGTCATAGTTATACGGATTTGAAAATGACAATGTTACCCTTAACATCAAAACTTCAACCCCCTCTACTTTCTACAAATATTTTTTTAATGAGTTTATATTTTAGGGATTTATTACTATCATACAGGACAACAATTTACCAAAGTATGAAGCCAATCCCAGAACATTGACTTTTTGGACTGGGGCGATTGAAAAAGAATCTCTCATATGTGATTTTGAAAAAAATTTCCAGAAAAAATTTCAAAATTTCTTTTTACATATAACGTTTTTTGTCGCTGCTCCGAAAAATTTGAGGTTTTACACTCATAGGTTTTTAATAATATTCTTTATCTTCTATCAAAATTTCATAAACGTGTTTTGCTTCGTTTTGTAAATATTATATTTTTAAAATTTTTCCTTAAAAATGTTCATTAAAATGTTTGAAATTAAACACTGACCAATTTCAAAGCGCTCCTTTTTTATATATTTTATAGAGAATCAAGCAGTTTGAAATTGGTTAGTTAACTTAAAGTCTTTTAATTAACTTTTTCAAATCAAAAATTTTGAAAATTAATAATATCTCCAAAACGAAGCCGAACATCTTCATGAGATTTTAATAGAAAGTAAAAAAAAATTAATGAAAAACTATGTGCAAAACCTCAATTTTTTCAGAGTATCGAAAAAAAATTTAGAAGGAAAAAGAAAATTTTTTTCAAAATCATATATGATTTTGAATATAGAATCCAAAAACAATAAATTTTTGTAATAATTCTTTCGTTCCTGTGTGCAAAATAAAGTGATTTATGTTTTTGGTCAGTTCCAAAATACCTATAATTTTTAATATTTTTTTAATAATAGCATTTTCAATACTTTTGATAATTAATATTTTTAAAGGGAATAAAATTTTTACCAGAACATTATGGTTAATGTGTTCAGTGAATCATCTAGTTTCAAATTAAAATTATCTTATTCTCTTAATAAACAGCTTGGCCGCTTGACCGGAAAATTTGTTACTAGATAGGGAAATTTTTCTTTTATTCAAAAATTCTGAAATTTTTTTATTCTAATTAAAAAAATTAAGCTGTTAAAATTAATCTCTTAATCCAATTTTATAAAAAAAGTGGCCACCCTGATAAAGTCGAATCAGAAATTGACACCTTAAAATATACCTGTTGTTTCTCTTTTTTCATTTATTATATACAATAGTTTTCCACTCATATACATGGATATATCATAATCCTTCATTGGTTGAAT